TCTATTTTTTTCGTCGTATTTGAATAAAATAATAATATAGTGAAAATATAGAAGAGTCGAAATGTAAGCAAAGTTGGATTGTCGTACAAACAGTAATATTGAACCAATTGTCCTTTAAATATAGCAATATGGGTGGTGGTTCGGTTTTTGTACAGGCTTAGTGTATACGAAGTGTTGTTAAAGGCGAAATGTTTCCGTAATATAAAAAGTTTATGTTTTTAATTTTTTCCACAATTTTCTAATTCACTTTATATAGAGAGCGACACCATCTACATATGTATATATAGATAGGAACTATGTTTGTGTATTTATGTATAATTATTAATAAAGCAGGCAAAAATAAAATGAAAGACAAAGTAAAAGAAAAACAAGTGAATAAAAAATTTTTAACGATATAAACAACAATAATGTCAGGATAATAATGAGAATTATCCTTTAAAAATAAAAGAAGAAATAAATAAAAAAAACAAAGTGTCAGTATTGCCTGGAGGCTTCTTATCTTATTTTAACTTTCATTTTTTTTATTGTATTTATTTTCGTTCTTTTGTTTTTCACATCTTATGAAAAACCCTTTTTCTATATAATTTTTTTTTGTATATGCAAGCAATTGTGAAAGGAAAGGATTTTTTTTTCTGTTTCTTTTTAATTTTATATAGTTATATGTATATGAGTGTGAAAGTGTGTAATAATAATATTAATGGAGTTTAACAGTGGTTTTGTACTTAAGCTTTATTACTTTAAATTCAAATTTATGGGCTATTAAGGAATAGATTTATGAGTATTATATTTTGAAGGTATATGGTGGAATGGTGTAGTGGTTTAGTAGAGTACATGTGGTAATAACAATTTGTTGAACGAATAATAAAATTGTAAGAACATACACATATACATAATATATTTTAGTTCTACAATAAGTTTGAAAGCGTTTTATTCGTAAATATATATGTGCCCTTAAAATAAATAAGAAAAAAACACTCTTACGTGATGAAAGTAGAGGAGAGTAAAATGTTGAAAACAACTGACAAATCTGAAAGAGAAAACGAGAAAAAATAGAGTTCATCATGTCAACTCTGTGATATAAGTATGAGCTTGTTACCCTATGAGCGAACACAAATGCTATAGCTGACCATGCGGCATACTATAATTTTAATTGGCGAATTTTTTAAGTGGCGAATTTATAAAACTCTTCAGACATAAGTTCACACAGAAATATATAGTTACTGCTGTATGAATATAATTATTTATGGCAAATTTCAGTACTGTGATTTCAATAGTATCAAACCAAACAATTATTGAAGTTTGTATGGCAGCTGACAGGAAAACAAAAAATATGCGAAATCTCTATATGTTATTTTAATTTCAATAATTTCCGAGATATAGCCAAATAACTTTTAAAATTGTAGGACAACAACCAAAATTACTGTCTCGGTCGCGTCAATTTTAAATCAGGTTTTGGCATTTACTATTGTAAATCGTTCGTAAAAACTTGATGAGCTTAGCTCAATACATACGTTCGCACGGGTATAATGGGAATTTTAATATTTTTGTTCCGTCAAAACGAACAAGTTTAGACGGAAGTCAATTGAATAACGAATTAAACGCCACGCCACAGACATTTGAAACAATACTGTCTCAAATTTTAACTTTTCAAAATAACCGGTAGAAAGCCAGTTATTAAAAAATGTGAAAGAGTAAATAAAAAGAGAAAAGAGTTAAAGAGAAATAAAAATTATTTTATTAACTATTTTCCACTTCACTATTAGTTGATAATTATTTTTTTTTATACTACGCTACGTATCTATCTCTAGAATCATTCTTTTCGGGCTCTTCTTCAAGTGCCGATCTTCTAGTATTTTATTCTTTTTCTGTCTAATATTTCTTTTCAATGTTACATTGCGTCCTTTTACTTTGAACTTTGTTTAATTTTTCTAAAGCGCAATAATATAAGAGAGAATAATATAGAAACGTTAATTTATTACTTTTTAATTATGATAAAGCATTAAATTATGCGACAAGCTATTTATAATCATATTGTTAATGCACACAAATATATATAAACATACATATGGAAACCACTATAATTATAAATAGATGTTGTAATTTATTTTGACCTTAGAACACATCTTTATATTTTAAATGCTAACAAATAAATTTTAAAATATAAAAGTGTTAATTATAAATAATATAGTAATGGGTGATAATGTCGCTATTTAGAGATAATTTTAGAAAAAAAAAATATAAAATTTATTTTGAAATTGTTTCTAAAAAAATAAATAATGAAATCATGTTATTGAAATTATTTTTATAATTGGAACAGGTCAGAATCAGAAATTTCTTAAAAGTTTCTTTTATTTTTGTACATTTCCCTTTAGTTTTTAGATTTTTCTTCTGTTTTCTTTTTATAAAAAAATCTTTAGGTTTTGTTAATCATTTTAGAGGCCATCTATTGAAAAATGTCAAGAAAAAAAGAAATATTTTTTTTTTATATTTTACTCAATAGTGTGAATTTAAAGGTTATTTTTGATATGCTTGATAAGAAAGTTTAAGTAGTTCATTTGAGATAATACAAAATTTATTTGGGCTTTTTAGTGTATTTTTTGATTTTATTAAAAAAAAATGCGACAGTTTTAAAAAGGGAAAAATAATAATTAAAATTTCATCATTAAAATTGATATAAGGAACGGGTTTATGCTGTGATAATTTTACAATGTTATTAAATTTAGATAAACATTTTTCATTGATAAAGTTGGAAAATAATTTTGGAAGCTAAGACAAATAGAATTTTGAAACCCTACAGTGGTTTGGAGTTATGCTCCTTATATTTCTAACATTAGTTCCGGAGTTCTGTTTAAAATTTTATGAATCCAAGTCTACCTATTTGTAAAAAAATGAAGATATTTCAGTATGTGAAATAGTGAATTTCTGCGTACATGTAACAAATTGAAATTAAGATCGTTGTTCAAGCTGTATCTTGTTTTTAATTAGAACTAGAATTGAATTAGATGTACGAGTCATTAGGACTATCCTAGTTATCTAATACAAATTCTCATATAAACCAAATTCAATTATTGAGTTACTAAGCACAAATCAAGCTCACACAATTTAATAAAAAATTTCAAAAAATCCTTAGAAATAATAAAAATTTTTATTTATTTGGTTTTTTGGTTGGGTTACAATAACAAAAATTTTTTTTTTATTTCAAAGAAAACAATAGATCATTTAATAAAGTCATAAAAACATGGTGTTTTTTTGTATTTCTGATTTAAATTAAACTATGAATACAAGATTTTTTTATTAAATAAAATACCGAAAAGTTTTGAAACATTTCTAATAAGTCAAACCCTCATTATAGCTATCCCATTTTTTTTTTTTCAGAAAATTTAAATGTTACATTAATGTAAAAATTAAAATCTTTTCTATTTTAATATGACACAAGTAAAATTTTCTCATCATTAACAATCAGTAAAAATTAAAGTTGGTTACCTTTTGTTGTAGTTAATTTTTTAACAAATTGATTAACGAAATGAAAGTGTATATTTATTAATAAAAATAAGAAGACATTCAGCCCAACCCTTTTCTAATCAATACGATAAATTAAAACACAAAAAATAATTTTCATGACAAAGAAAAAAAAAGCATGTAATAAAATTAAGTTGAGACCCAAAGCAAAAATGGGCATAAACATTATGTTGGTATACAAAGTGTCCAATTTGAGTGAATTTTGTAAAACATAAGTCTATTTTGGAATAGGAATATTGTCTATTTGAAACCAATGAGTTATGGATAGAACAGATTGGATAAAAAACTGATTAAGTTAGACAGTCTGTTACATATACGTTATACTCTTATTTTTTTTTCCTTATTCACTCCTAAAAGGAGCATAGGGCTAGTGCATGATTTCTCATGCACTAGTTTCATAGCGTCATAGAGTTTAACTAGGTAGGTGACTAACCTGCCGTAGTTTTATTTATATTAATTATTTGAGGTTATTAATATTTACTGTTTATTTTTCTTAGTTTTTTTTTAATATGGAATATTACGAATATTTGAAAATTACTTGTATAATATTTATTAGTATTGTATATTAAGTTATAATAATATTGAATATAATTTTTATAGTGACCTGACCGGGGTTTGAACCCGAGACCCTTCGGTTAAAGGACCGGTGCCATAACCACTGCACCAATGGTCAGATATACTCTTATTTACTATCACATTTTTCAACTCGACATCAAACCGGTTCAATTACTTTTTTGAAAAATAAGTCAGAAAGTAATTTTAATACCACTTCAATGATATTTTTGTCAATAGATTGGTAAAAAATAAAGCAGATTGTGTGAAATCGAAATTTTTTGATAAATTCAGTTCCGAATAAAAGATATCGAACATTGATATCGCGAACATATAGAGAATCCTCTAGAGAATCCTCTAGAGATGGGACCCATGTAATCAAAGCTTGATAATGAGCGGAATAAGATCTTAGGGACTCGGTAATAAAACGGAACATTTGTCCTCAAAAGAGTGCAGCTAATCCATCGAATACGTCATGTCAATCAAACAAAAAGGTGCAGTTCTGATTAGAAATGTAAAACTTAAAATTTATGACTTTTATAGATTTTGTACGTTAGCCATTAAAAATTTAACATAAGTAGGAATGTTGTCAAAATCCAAACAAATTTGCGAAAGGTATAATTTTGTGATTTGGCTGATTTCCGTAGAAAATTTCCTTTAATATATTATTTGTGTTTTTATTAATATTAATCAATGTTTACCTTAAACGGAACAACTTGTAAAAAATTGATTGGCATTATATACACAAATAATACATACATATGTACATGTGAATATGTGTGAGCTTTAACAGTTTTAAAAAATCCCAATTATTGTTAACTTTTAGAATTAATTAGTTAATTGTTAAGAAAAATATTGAATTATGAAAACAAAAATAAAAAACAGCAAGAATGAAAAATAAAAATAGTCAAAAATTAATTTTTTTTTACCTTGAATGCCTAATTATGCGGTTCCAAATTAGCGTCGCTTTTATTTTTCGCAGTACGTGCGGTTCTTTCCACTTTTAAATGACAAAAATAAACTACATAAATGATTTTTTTGTTTCTCTTGTTTTTGTTATTATTGCGTTTTTTCCCTTTTCTTTTCAAAATATTATTGATATGTGCACAGGTAAATAAATCTGAAAAAATCAAACAAATCCACATTTATAAACAAAATAGAAAAAAAAAATTAAAATTAGATAAAAAACAAAAAAAAGAATAAAAACAATAAATTAAAGTTAACAACAAAAAAATCAAATAATTGTCAATAATTTGACAACTTTGAATATTGATTAACATTTTTTTTCTAACTACATATTTATAAACTAAAATTTTCTGAATACAAGTGAAGTATCGACCCAGTACAATTCCATATACAAAATAAATGATATAATTTGAATAATAATAAGAAAATATTAAAAAATAAAATGCTTAATGGTAATAAAATTATACGGAAAAGGGAATAGAAAATTATGAAAACAAAATAATAATAAATAATAACAAAGGCGGTTTTTATGTAAGGGGGAGTGAAGGGAGAGGTAAGTAAATTGAGTTTAATTCGATTGAATTGCATTTAAATAAAATAAAGCGGCACTAGTTTATTGTGAAACATTATTGTCGCTTGTCGCATTTAAGAAAGTCAACAAACAAAGAAATAAAAACTTTTGATCCCCTATTATCATAAATGGCGATCAAAATGACGTCTTATAAACATTTTCACCACAAAATTATTATTATTTACTTATTATTACTGAATATTGATGTTATTATTAACTATTTTCATATAATTGTGAATTGAATAATAAATTTTTTTTTGTGGTTCTATAATGTAGGTTTAAAAAACAAATTGTGCTTTGAGAATTTTATTCATTACATTGTAATTGTAGTGGTTTAGAAATTGGGTACCAAACTATTTAGTGGTCTTGGTCTAAAAAGTCCTGTATGAGTCTTCATTCAATTATTTCGGGAGCTTTTAGAAAATTATTTTTTGGAATTAAAATTAACCAAAAAAATATTAACTTGTGAATTTATGGTACGTAGCGCGGTCGTGTAATATATATATGTACATATATTTTGCTATAAAATGACGGTTTTCCACAAAAAAACAAAACTTTAACACATTGGTTAGGAAATGAAAACCCAATTAATTTTCTTAATTTAACCTAATAGACTAAATCATTTAAAACTTGTATACTATAAATGAAGTTGAAAATTACATGTTCTTAGTACATGGAAGCTCATATAATCTCAATTGTCATCTAATTAATTTACATAAAAATTAAATTAAATTGGATCAATGATAAAGTAATGAACATAAAAGTTAATAAAATCCAAAATGTATTTTACGTTCAAACCCGAATAATAATCAAGGTTCAAAAAGCCACGGCTGAATAAAATTTTTGAATTGCAAAGTAACGAGTTACCATAACTTTTTTTTTCTTTTTCTTTAAAACAACAAAATATTGTCAAATGAAAAACAAAATTTTCAATTTGCCCTTTGACATTAAATCAACAATGAATAAATCAAAATAAGCAATAATAATGAAAACTCGAGAACTAAAACTCTTAAAAAAATATTGCAAAGCAGAACTAGAGTTACAAATGGTTTTTTTTTAAAGAAAATTTACGAAGAAAATAGTAGCAAAAAATTTAGAAGTTCCAACTATGTAGTCTATCTTTCCAAGCAAAGAAAGCAAAAACTAGAAAACAAAATAAAAGTAGAAAAAAAGAAAGCCAAGCCAGCCTCTTTTTTCCATTCTTTTCATCCCTATTACCTTTTGCAAAATAAATATTTTCTCTAATCTATACCCATTCATACAGTAGATATGTATAGATGTGTGTATGAACATTGACCTCTTAAATGTTTATCACGTAAAATATATTCCAGAAATAAACGATGTGATTTTTAATTTAATTCCTTTAGGATAGTTTTCGTTTTTCATCATTGCTTTCATTCTTCATAAATAAAATCGATACATGAATCGATAGTGTATTGACTCTAATTTAAGACCAAAACAAGGAAATTTGTTTCCACTCTGGCAAAAAATTCTTTAAACTCTGGGGTATCCGTATGGGTTCTTCGAACTTGGTTTTCCATAAAAATGCTATTTTAGTATTCTTTAGTCGTGATTAATTTGTTATTTGCTATATATAAAATAAATTGTAAACAATTTATGTCAGCACTTCGTTGCATGAGAAACAGATTCGTCCAAAATCTAAGATCTAATTCAAAGATCATCAGTTTAAAAAATTTGTTGAGTTAGTTAAAGTTGTGACCATATGTACATAGCTTTGCTGCGGATATATTTAGCCTAAGTTTACCTTAGTTAATCTAAGGAAATTGTAGCAAATTCAGTAGTACGTTTGTATTGAACTAGTCGTCCTTTTAATATCATAAAAGAAAAGAGAAAATAACTATACCTTTCTTTTATATTTGTGTATTATTGAAGGAATTAAAATAAAAAAATTACAAGTAGGATAACAAAACAGCAATAAAATATCAGTAGGATTAGTGGTAACAGCAGTTTTAGAACTACGACAGAAGCACGACAATAATTTTTTATAGATTTTTTTGTTTTCAGCAATAGTAATTTGTCCAATAGTGCACTCATTATCATAACGTTTCATTGCATTTTCTAACATGAGTCATTTCGGATGCTGTACGTTTAAAAACACACATTTCTATGTATACGTATAAAATTATTGGAGAAAAAAACTGAGAAGCAAAATAATTTATTTGTTTTTTCTAGTCTATATCCTTAAATATTATAAGACCGTGACAAAAATATGTGCAATGTACGGTTTTTTCCTTTTTTTTACGTTTTCTGTCGTGCTGCCTGTTTGTATTGCAAAAAAAAAAAAATGCTAATAAGCTGTGCATTTTTACTCTTGGGCATTTACTGTTTTGGTATTTTTTTTTTTTTTTTGGAATCTTTGAATTATGATTTATAAAGCTACAAAAACAAATCCGTGTACAAAAAGTTTTCCCTTAAGAATATGATGACGGTTGAATCATTTTAATTAAACAAAGGAATATTAATAAAATATGAACGCAATATTGATGAAATCCTTATTATCGCCTTGTTCTGCGTTTTATGACAAATGAATTATTCTAAATAGTGAGATTAGCTCAAGAAACATTGATTAAAATTAATTAGAAATTGAAGCTAAAAATGGAAAATATTTCCTGTGAAAGATAACGTGTCGCACTTAATTTTGTTGTGAATTACAACATTAGAAATTTCAATTGGAAAAAATAAAAATGTCAGTGTTTTTGTATAGCTGAACATTCCAACTAAAGTATTTTGATGCAATGTTCAGCTACATTCTGCAATATAATCGCAGCATTATCTTTTCGATTACACCAGGGTTTAGTACACATAGAATGTCATTTTCTTAGTTTTTTCTCATAATATTTTAAAAATTTGACAGAAAAAAAGCTGCTTTTTTCAATTGTTTGGTGTGTTATCAGCAAGCAATAGCAATTTTTCTCCATTATAAACAAATAACTCCAAAAAGTTTTAAAAATTTTGATACTGAGAACGATACAAGAAGAAAGAATGATAGAAAAATTTTTCCATTGCAATATTATATCTAAAGATTTTAGAAGTTGTTATATGAGACCTAATATTGTTGTGTTGCATTCAATCATAGTCCTTACACTGGAATTATAGTTCTTAAGCGTTTGATTTTTAAATTGAATGAAAATTGTGAACTTCAATAATATTTTTGTATGATCCATAATTTGCTAATCAACGGCTCGACTTACTTTCAATTTTTTGTTGCTATGTTGCTTTCGCGTAAAATTTCTTGCTGAGTAATGTGGGAAATCTCTTGCAAATTAAGTTATTAAAAACTTTAATATTAGTATTTGTAAATTTTTAAGAATATTAACATGTTCAATTCAAATAAATCGCCAATTATTTATATGCGAAAATAATATGCTAAATACCAGTACAAAACAGTTCACGTTTATACATTGCTTAATTAATTTTGCAACGCCATTAAAATATGAGAACTTTTCTAAACTAAATTGGTTTTTTTATTTTTAGTTTGTTCAACACAAAACTGCAATATGGATTTTCTTTCACAAAATTTTTAATTTGATACATTGAATTTTTTTTTTCACGAATCAAATCTCAAAATTTTCAAAATTATGCTTTTGTTTTCTTTTTTTGCTTTTTCAAAGTAATAAATCACTTCCACTTCAAATAGATTTTCTCATTTCGACATTAAATACTTGTATGCTTTAATCATTGCTCGAAAAATGCACAACATCATCAAAAAGTTCATCAATAAGAAGTAAATTTTCTTTTGTTTTTGTTGATTGAAATCTCATATTTCAAAATAATTTTTGCAGAGTGATTTGCAAGCCAATAATGATTATAAGACGATTAGCATGATGATGAAAAGTTGCATATAAATTCAAACACATATAAAAGTCAAGCATAGTGTATTATTAGCATATTTTTAAAGAGTGTTCCGCAAAACCTTGGTATACAGGGTGATTCTGATAGATATACAACAACATATTATACCATTCGTTAGAGGATCGAAAACGGGTAAAATATTTATTCCGGACTGTTTTTCATAGAATTTTTTCCAGCTGCTTAAATGTTATTTTTTTTACAGAATTTTTCCCAGCTGCTTAAATTTTAATGTAAGTCCTTAAACATTAAAAAAATTTTTATGTTACAGAAGATATAGTGCAAAAACTACAAATATTGTGAGCCACGAATTCAATTAAAACAAAACCAGATGTTAATAAAATTAAAATTAAATTCAATTTAATATTCCTTTATCAAAAAATTTGGAAAAATATGAATTCCATATCCAAAAAATTTACAATAATCTCAAAACAAACACCAACTTATCTTTTGAAGTTCACCTAATTCGGAAAAACTCTATAGTTTTCTTCTTTCAAATCTTCTTTCTATTCAATCGCATATTTTAAATTAATTGCTTTATTGGAACGCCTATTTAGTTGCAGCAACCGCATACCAATTTTAGTTTTTGTAGAAATATGTTTAACGTTTTTTAATACCATTAAATTATTTATTAATTATTTATTAACTTCATAATTTTATACAAACTCTATTTTGAGTAAAAAAATTAAATTTTCGTATTGAAAAAAAAATTT